GGCCACGCAAACAAATACAAACGAACAACGAGCACTTTGCACCTGAAAAAAATGGATCACCTGTGATCACACACTTTGAAACAAATGTCTGCTTCACTGCTGCTTTCCATACCAATTTCTACAATAGTGGAAACAATGTTGTGTAAGCTCTGATTAGCCTGTATGCTGTACCACTAAATCCTCACTTCTAATATGTTGTATTGGAAGTGTTTGAAGTACTTGGTAGTGACTGCAGTGCTTCTAAAGTGATCATTTCTATTCTCTTTTTTTCTTTCATTTCAAATTTACTTACCGTTCATTTTTATCATGTTCTGAAATAGTTTTATTTCCTTATGATGTAGCTTTCAGTTTTGGAAAGCGTGACAGACACAAAGGTTTGTTGGAAACAGGCTGAGAAGGAAACATTAAAGACTGCTCATAAAATAAAGAGAACACAAAAATAAGACATCGCAGATCTGAATGAATGACACATTCTTATGATCCACTTTGTTCTTTACATAGTTGAATGTGCTTACAAAAAATCACCAAAATTATCAATGGAAATCAAATAGCAACCCATGGAGGTCTGGATTTGGAGTCACACTCAAAATTAAAGTGGAAAAACACACTACAGGCTGATCAACTTTGATGTAATGTCCTTAAAACATGTCAAAATGAGGCTCAGTAGTCTGTGTGGCCTCCACGTGCCTGTATGACCTCCCTACAATACCTGGACATGCTCCTGATGAGGTGACAGATGGTCTCCTGAGGGATCTCCTCCCAGACCTGGACTAAATCATCTGGCAACTCCGGGACAGTCTGTGTTGCAACGTTGGAGGATAGAGCGAGACATGATGTCCCAGAAGTGCTCAATTGGATTCAGGTCTAGGGAACGGGCGGGCCAGCCCATAACATGAATGCCTTCGTTTTGAAGGAACTGCTGACACACTCAAGCCACATGAGGTCTAGCATTGTCTTGTATTAGGAGGAACCCAGGGCCAACCGCATCACCATATGGTGTCACAGGGCGTCTGAGATCCCCTGACAGGGGGGCTCGTGTCACGATCCTGGGTCTTAGGACCCAGTGTTTTGAGTTTTAGTTAATCTTAATGTGTATAGTTTGTTAAGCTCATTAGGCCTCCTATGTTATTTGCTTATTAGTTCCCCCTTGTGTTTCCAACCCATGTTAAGTCTCCCCTGCCCTTCATGTCTCTCTGTGCCCCCTCTGTTCTGTTTATTGTGTGTCTTTGCATGTTTGAGTTTCTTGTTTTCTGTCACCCTGCATTGTGCATTATGTTCTCATGGTTGGTCTTTTGTTACTCCCTCTAGTCTAGTCTCTTGTGTTCAAAGCTGAGTATTTCCCTCTGTGTATTTTGGTTCTTAGACCTCTGCCTTATGGTTTGTCTCTGTTTCTTAGTTGCTGTCTCCACTGTCTAGTTCGCGTCTCTGTGTGATACTTCCTGTTTTACTTTGAAGGTCCATGCCTCATGTGAGTGTTTCTAGTTTTGCGTCTCTGTCTCGTCCAGTCCTGATTTCTCCCAGCTGTGCCCTCCTTCTGTGTCTCATTCCCTCGTTATCCCTCTGTGTATTTAAGCCCTGTGTTTCTCTTTGTCAGTGTCGTAGTCTCCCTCATGCTGTGTGTGATTCTCCCCGTGGTTCCTGGTATACTTTATGTTTAGCTTTCCCAGTTTAGTTTAGTACTGTTTTTGTGTTTCACCTTTTGCCAGCATTAAAGCTGTGTTTTTGAGTTTACGTTTTGTCTCCGTGAGTTTGCGTTTGGGTCCTCTCCTGCCTGCCACACAGCCGAATCATGACAGAAGACTACGACCAGACAATGGACCCAGCAGCTCACAATCCCTCTGCTGAGCTCCAGGAGGACATGATCTACACGGTAGAATTTCTCTGCCAGGAGTGGTTTGCGCTGCCATTTAAGGAATACCAGAAGGAACTAGCTCTCCGCTTACAACTGATGATCTCTGGACTCCCCTGGTTATTTGGCATGCTCCACCCTTTAATCCAGGACTTCCTTGTTTCTACTGTGCGTGTCTGCACTGAGCAGCCACTCCTGTGTGAAGAGCCGGAGGCTTTTCAGACGAGTCCGCTTGAGGATTTGCGGGCCGACTCGTCTCCTCCCTCTTCCAGGAGAAAGCGGCATTCACCCCGCCATCGCTCCACAGCAGCTGAGCAGACCGTTTTTGTGAGTAAAAGTGACTGTTTGCCACATTCTGACTCCAAACCTTCTGCCATTTCATCCACTGTTAGTCATGCTGCTCCTATGAACACTTTAGTTTTTCAACCAGCTCCTCCGAACCTTCATGATTCCAATCCTGTGTCTGAGACTCTACGTGACGCTCTTCCAGTATCTCAGGCAGTTATTTTTTCTGTGCCTCAGCTGGGAGGTGTAAACAGTAACAGAGTGCCTCCCACCATAGTTAAACTGGCTAGAAGACTTGGACTTGATGCCACTGAGCTCATGAATCAAGTTGAATTTTGTGTTCCACAGCCAGCCATGTTCAAACACACTCACCATGTTTTAGAGTCAGACCAAGTTCAACCTGCACCTCAAGTGACTGTTTTGGGTGTGGCCTCACCCCTGGACTTTGCTGCTCACCAGTCAGCTTATTCAGAAACTGCCTTTGCAAACCTACCTACGCCAGTGACCGCTCCTGAGCTCCGCTCTCCTCCACCTGTCCCGGCTCCCAGGGTGAGGCCAGCCAGGACACAGCCTACCTCCGCACCCGTACCTACTCCTCGGGTGGGAGCAGCTCGTGTCTGGCGGGCACCTGCACCCATTCCTGTGTCCGCTGAAGTCTCAGACGAGCCTATCCAGCCCCTGTCCTTGTGTTCTGTAGGCTCGGAGATATGTCAGCAACAACTACCACAATCACTACAACCTCTCATTTTTTCCATAGTTCAGTCTGTTGCTCAGTTAGCTCAGTCGTGTGTTCAGGCTTCAGCTTTGTCTCCAGGTCAGGCTTCAGTTTTGTCTCCAGGTCAGGCTTCAGTTTTGTCTCCAGGTCAGGCTTCAGTTTTGTCGCCCATACCCCTTTCTTTGGCCCAATCATCTGAACAACCAACCGTGCAACAGTCTGCTCAGCACTCCGCGGCTCCCACGCCCTTTCTTGTGGACCAATCAATCTGAACAAAAACCAAGCAACATCAACATCCTTGTAGCACTCCACAGGTCACCACGCCGCCGGCCTGTAATGTCGGCTCGCGACGGGCCCAGAGGATCCCGTCCGGCTCTTCAGCCACGTTCCAGCTGAGAGGGCCGAGAGCCCTGTCCGGGCCTTCATGCTCAGCCGGTGCCACGCTAGGCAGGGCCCGCGACCCCACGTCCCAGGGCCTCATGCCAGTCAGCTAGAAGTAAGGTGCCCCGAGCTGGGGAGCCCACCGATACCCGCTATCGTACTGCTTAAACACTCCAAGTTGCCCACATTATACAGCTGCGATGGGAGGTCCAGCCACATCAGCCGACCGATCCTCCGTTTGTGTGACGCAGTGAAGCGATGCACCAGAGTAATCCCTGGCCAAAGGTATCGTACTTAAATCAGACTACTGATCCAGCCACATCAGCCTTTTGTGAGGTCTGTTTAAAGTTGACTAAAAGTGAACTGCAGGTTCCTGAGAGGTGGACTGTGAGCACAGAAACACATGTTCATACATACAGCTGCAGCAAACTTACATTAATTTTAAATAGATTTGTTACTCTGATGTCTGTCTCTGTGTTAGTCCTCTGACAGACTGGTGACCTGTCCAGGTGTGCTCTACCTATGACTACTGGGACAGGCTCTAGCCTCTGTAATAGAAATGTTCTGTTATTCTCATTTAAAGTATTTAAGTGCTTATGCATATGCTTAGTTGTGACACTGTTACTGTTCAGTGAAAGTTTCTAAAACTAGATGAACTTACTTCAGCGTCAGCAGTTTGAGAAAACAACTCTTGTCATTACTGCTGGCCTTGGTGTTCCCACTGTCACCTCGTCTACGCCTGGTCCGGCCTCTGCCTGTGCCGCTGCCGCGCCTGGTCCGGCCTCTGCCTGTGCCGCTGCCGCGCCTGGTCCGGCCTCTGCCTGTGCCGCTGCCGCGCCTGGTCCGGCCTGTGCCGCTGCCGCGCCTGGTCCGGCCTGTGCCGCTGCCGCGCCTGGTCCGGCCTGTGCCGCTGCCGCGCCTGGTCCGGCCTGTGCCGCTTCCGCGCCTGGTCCGGCTGTGCCGCTGCCGCGCCTGGTCCGGCCTGTGCCGCTGCCGCGCCTGGTCCGGCCTGTGCCGCTGCCGCCCACGCCACGTTTTGCCCTTTGGAATCGCCAGCCGCTTTCCGGGCCATCAGCTGGACATCGGGGTCGGGCCATCAGCTGGACATCGTTGCCATCGGGGTCGGCCGCCTGAACTGTTCCACCTTTGGTGCTCTCGACCTCCGGGTCGGCCCATTGAACTGTTTCCATGTCGTTGCCTGTTTTACTTTGAAGGTCCATGCCTCATGTGAGTGTTTCTAGTTTTGCGTCTGTCTCGTCCAGCCTGATTACTCCCAGCCTTGCTCTCCTCGTTATCCCTCTGTGTATTTAAGCCCTGTGTTTCTCTTTGTCAGTGTCGTAGTCTCCCTCATGCTGTGTGTGATTCTCCCCATGGTTCCTGGTATACTTTATGTTTAGCTTTCCCAGTTTAGTACTGTTTTTGTGTTTCACTTTTTGCCAGCATTAAAGCTGTGTTTTTGAGTTTACGTTTTGTCTCCGTGAGTTTGCGTTTGGGTCCTCTCCTGCCTGCCACACAGCCGAATCATGACAGAGACTTCATTTATTTCAAAATGATCCCAGACATTTTATCTAGAGTTTTTCATTTTGGCTTTAAAGTTTTGCAGCTGTTACTGATTTTAATTTGATGATATTCTTTATGTGCATTTTTTTTTTTTAAACAAAGGTTTTTAAGTGATTTTTAAGTGGAAGTAAATTTGTATTTGTAACACTCTTAGGTTCACGATGAAATACTTGATTGTGTTAAATTAAATTGCTAGTTTCAGACTTATACCTTATACTGTTCCCAGTCTCTAAAGAAGTTGATTGACCCATCTTGTCTCCTCTGGATGACCGTCCACCCTCCCTGAGCTTGACTCTGTTCACACCAGGCCTGCAGGAGTCGGTTGGAACTCTGCGGCCGGAGCAAATAGATCCCACTGGTAGTTTCACCTGATTCCAACACATGCTGACAGTCCCGCCATGGCCCTGAGTGAAGGGAAAATACAAGCAAGGTGACTAATAAAAGCAACATGCAATTATAGTGATGTAATATTACAACATATAACATTTTTTAGTATTAAGTACGAACATGGAAGATATCTTTAAAGGTCTTTTATGGCTTTAAAAAAATATAGGACACTGGAAAACACAACAGGAAGCTTCTAACAGAGGGTTTTGAAATTCAGTTTGGAAATCAGGAAAATCACAGATCTTATTATTTCTCTTCCAGCACATATTCAGTGTCTCATGCCACACTGGTAAGATAGACACAGGAATGTGCACAAACAACAATGTATACAAAGAAGAGAGACTCCCACACCAAGTGATAAGCCCTAATGGTCTGTCATGACTTGAACTCTCTCTCTCTTTCTCATTACACACTGGAGGAAGTGTTGAGTCACACAGATGTTTCATCCTTTTGGGTTCTGCAGCTCATATTCTCTGGTTTGTAATTGCAAGTTCAAAAGGGAAGTGTTATAAAAAGTTCAAAAACTGTTCTGTGCATGTCTTCATTAGAAAGTGTTTTGTGCTGTGACAAGAGCTGCTGTTTTCAGAAGCTGAGGTTCCCAGGGTGGACAGATAATAGCAGGTCACTGACTCCAACAGCCACTAGTGCTTATCTAAGCAGTTAAATAAATCTGACAGGAGATAGACATATATATAAACACCAAATAACTCTAATCAGGTGCTACTATAAACCATGTTTTCAACTCCATCTTTGAAGAAGCCGAGATATTGTTCAAAATGTAAATAAAACAATAGAAGATTTGTCAAGATGCATAAAGTAAGTGCTTTCTATGATGACAGAGCGCTCAACCCTCAAGCTTCATTGATACAGTCACACACACACACATTCACTACTGCATTACACACAGGAAGGTTCACTTCCTTTCTGGGCCTAGCTAATTTCAGTGAAAACAGAAATTGTGTTTGATATGGGTGTTGCACCCTCGACACAGAAGAAGAGAGGAACCATCTGGTTTGTTATCAGTGCATGGTTAAAAGACCACTATCTGTCATAGCATGGGTGACTTGCATATCTGTGGAGGCACAATTAATGCTGGGAAAACCTTTTTTAGACCTACAGCAGTTGGTCTAAAAATAATATGGCATTGTTACCTCAAGGAGAGGTGTAATGTGGGGTAAACATGACCCTGTGCCAACATAAACATTTTTCCCACATTTGATGTGTTTTCTTTGAACTATATTCAGTAGAATTCATGTTTAATATTGTGTTGAAGTGAAGAATTACTCCGAGTTTTATTTACATCTAACACAGCATTCAAACTTTTTTGGAAACAAGCTTGCATATTGACCTACCTGGAGTTTTTGTGACAGGAAAGCTAAAGAAGGAAGGGTCTGTAGGACTGCTGGTGGTAGTGGGGGGATGGAAAGGACCTCCCCCTGTTTGAGCTTGCTCTAATGGGAGAGCACTTTGGTCCCGTTGAACATCATTGGTCATTTGGTTGGTTTCAGAACTGTAATTCAGATGCACATTTGACTGGCTTTTGGGTGGTTCAGTAACGACCTGTTCAGACAAAAAAGAAAAAAAAAACAATCCAAAAAATATTCTGAGTCCTTTTTTATAAATCTTGTATAAATAGGCAGATGTAAGATTTGTTTTTTTGCCCCTACTTGAGGGGACTGGGCAGAGTCCCTGCACTGGCACTTCTTCTCCAAACGGGCAATAAACTGGTTGTGTGAACTCATCATAGAGGTGAGGGCTCCATATTTCTTCTCCAGCTCCCTGTAATCCCTGGACACCTGCAGTGCCTGAGATGTCCAACCATTCACAGCATAAGGATACATTTGACAATGATGAGTATAACATCTAGTTCCGCTGCTCTAGACTCACCTGTGCTGTCGCATTTAGCAGAAGGTTCTCCACCTTTTGCTGCTCCAAGGCCTGATCTTTCTTGTTTATAACTTCATGTTGCAGCTGAGCATAGAGCTGGCTGATGCGAGAATTCATACTGCTGCTCTCTTTGCGCAAGGCCCTTACTTCAATGGCAAGGACCCCTTCCTGCTCCAGTTGGCTTCTTAGCTTCTCTAGTAGTTCCTGCTGTCGTTTGAGCTCTGCCCATAAGGCTGACACTTCTGAATGGTTGGTAGGAGCAGGCTGCGTGTTCAGACACAGCGCCCCAGTCAATTTCTGCTGAGGCACTACGAAGGTGTAAGAGCACCGGCCTGTTTTTGTTTCTGAAGAACGTGATGAACCTTTGTTGTCATCCTGGGATCCCTCCTTCTGTCCACCAACTTCTGGCATGTTCACACAAAGTGTAAGAAAAAGAGGCAGAACTACTGTCAGTGCCTTCTCCATGAATCTGTAACAATCCTGAGGACACACAAAAAGCAATAGTTTCTCATCAGGTAATTAGCACTTTAATACACAGACATACACTTTGCATGTTAGTAAATAAGTATCTGGTGAATCTTGACTTTTCACCAGATGTTTCCTTACAAAGACAGAGTGCGCGCATTTCCTTGAGTTTAGCAGGTCAACACAGAAGGGACAAAGGTCAACACAAACCAGTCAGAATCAACACTTCTCCATCTCAGGGTCAACAGTACAGTAAGCTCCACACCCAGATACAACAGCCATGGTCAACACCGTAACCAAGGCAAACAGACCAACACAGATGTACAGCTCTTCCACAAAACAACAACATGAGACCCATCGCATTGTGTTATGTAGCTTTCTCAGTTGCTGTGGGTAAGAATGAGACAATTTCTTCTGTCAGAGATGATAAAAAAACATGCACCATAATGATTTAACTATGTGAAGATTAATGTAGCCATAAACAGTGCAAGTGTATTCAAGTCTACCTGAAAGTAGATATAATTAAACATTGTGACCATGCATAACTTACTGTGCCAGCTGGTTAGACAGTTTTTGGTGTTTTTGTTGCAGCTCCCAGGACAAAATCGCAGAAAAGTAGACATCAAATGTTAAGACATAAACAGTGATATCAAAAAAAAATCTTCCTCTAAATCAAAAGCTGTTAATGATCTTAATAAAATGTTGAACTAAAACTGATGGCAGAAAACAAAAAGACTGATAACTACACAACTGCTGCTTTGTCTCTAGAGTTTCTGTCTCAGGCAGACAACTAATTACAAACTCCTGCCTCCCAGAACTGGTTGTTTAGCTGGGTGCAGGAATCTAGGGTGTCTCCTCCCTCTGTCATTAACCCACAACCCTGCTGTCAACTCTATCCTGCTGTAGCACCTTATCAGTGTGGCATGATTATTTGTGGCATGTATACATACATACATACATACATACATACATACATACATACATACATACATACATACATACATACATACATATATATTGGTCCTCCAGCATCACTCAGTCTAGTGGGTTAATTGCAGCAGATTATGCACTTTGTTATAATAATAATAAGTTGTGATGGTCTGAGTTGCCTTTTACATGACAGCAGTGGCTCTGAGATAGTTCTTTGCTACTGCATCATCTTTATGGGAAAATCAGCAATACTGAAAAACAGTAAAGATAGTCACAGTCACACAGTGCTGAGGTCAAAGTGTGAACAGAAACCACACCTAAAACGCTGTCTCTATTTCTACTTTCAGATCAGCTTACAGTATTGCACTGGGTCACACCCAAGCTCTGATCACACTTTTTTTTTCATTATGGTTTTCTCTATACTGCCAAAACAAATAAACACTTTTTTTCTTATGTCAGAGAGACAAAGACTTTACGCTCTCATTAACGTCATGATGCTACATTTATTGGTTTTCTATCAAAAATTGTATAATTAAACTGTTGAACTTTAAATAAGCCAATGTTTGTCCATAGAATGAATATAATGAATATAGCCATTTTCTGTGTGTGTGTGTGTGTGTGTGTGTGTGTGTGTGTGTGTGTGCGTCTTTGTGTGTTTGAGTTTGAGGCCTTGCAAATTGCAG